TAGAATATTGGATAGAGGCGAAATTATCAGATCGCATTGTTAGATGCTCTAGTTTGTATTCAGTCGTCTTAATTATCAGTAAAACTCTTTGTTGTCAGTACAAAAGTAATGATTTTAGATCTTAATGATGATTCACTGGTTGCATTTTCTACTAATTTGTTAGTTAACTTATTCCTCGATGTGTTTCTTTGCTTTTGTAGTTGATATTCGTCTATTATGTCTCGATATCTCATCAATTATCCACTGTAACAAATTCTATTTGGTTGTAGATGGTACTGGTGGACGCCAGTTTTGTGTAACAACTGGCCATATTCATTGGGATCCCGAACATTCCGACGTAAAGGTGATCCAAACAATTTTATGGACAGCTGAACTTTGGGCGTATATTGACCGATTTCTCAAAACTTCTCGAAATGCTGCAAAACAGTTATCACCAACCTTGTCGCGCTCTGTTCCTTTGTCGTCTAAAATACCTGTCCCAGGTCCATTTTCTCCAGCGGCTAATATGCCTGTAATACTATGTGGTGACTTGAATTCTCTTCCTGAATCTGGTGTAGTGGAATTTTTGACTAGCGGCAGCTTATCGCTGACACACAGTGATTTTCTCAATTATGGTCATAAGTATATGTTCAAAGATTGGAAGCTTTTAGAGAAATGGGCTACAGATGGCAACACATTAAGGCATCGCTTTGCTTTCAATCGTGCATATCAAGAATCTGAGGGCATGTGTTTGACAAACTTTACGTAAGTATCACATTTTTTACCAACTCATTGTATATTTAAAACCGTTATTTTCTGCTTCGTTCATCGCTGCTTTGTCCATCTAGTGGCAATTGAAATAGAAGTAAAATAGAATAATTAGGAAGATTAACGGATCAAGACTGTTTTTTACATGACTGGAATTAGTGTCAGTGTCACATTTAAGTGACTGCGTTGCCATTTAGCTATTGTAGCTACGTAACCAATGGTTGGAGACTCTTGGAGACATGTCTCAGAATCGATCACAATGGCGTTGGTGTATACACTCTTTGTCTTCCCTTAAACTAAGAGATTAAGATCGCTTCATATCTTTCTTTCTATGAACTAATTTATATCCCGTCCAGAAGTCGGATTCGAAAATGAAAAATTCTTTTTATAGTATTTTTTAATAACTTTGAGACACATAACGTAAAGCTAGCTGACTGATGGTGATGACAATCAATCAGGTTATGGCAAATGTAATCGAGGTCATTCTTCTTGAAGGATGGCTTGAGTAGCTGTCAATGTCCTGAATCTGTCACAAGTGTAACTCGAGGAAGGGAAAGGATGAAACATTTATTCGGCAAAAACCGTTCTCCAGACCCCATTATTCGAATCCAAAATAAATGTTTCGTAACGACAATAAAAGTAACCTACTACATTACGCTTAAAGAACGCCACATTATGTATAGAGATTGGAAGCACTAATTCGATGGATAAAAGCGCTTTATTAATAGCAATCAGTTGTGAATCAAATTCAGAAGTATCCACTCTTAAAATCAATGTGATAGAATGAAAATTCTGTATTTTCTTCATTATGAGTGTCGATATCCTCTTGTCAGTGGTATTTACTTGATTTCTAACAAGGAAGAAGAATATTCTTCCACGCTAATAACTAACAATCCGGGTGTCTTTCAGGTATCAAGTATTTTTTACTAAACAAATGATTCACGAAGGAATATTTCGTCTTAGCATAAGTATTAGAATCCTGTGAATAAATAAATTTAAGTAACTAATTAATTTCCCATCCAAACTGTTTAAAGCAAAAGACAAATGGTCCGTTGTAAGGTACCACTTTTTTGGAGATAATATAGTACTTAGATTTTGTTTACTCTACGCCGTGCATAGTATTTAGCTTTTTTTGACAATCATGTTTTTTATAGATATGATTTTAAAGGGATGATAGATTACGTTTTATACACGCGACAACATTTTCGGCTTTTGGGGAGTTTAGACCAAATATATGAACTATGGTTTCAGGAAAAGAAAATACTTGGTTGTCCACATGTTCATATTCCCTCTGACCACTTTGCTCTATTGGTTGAGCTGGAACTGATGCCAACAAATTTACCAACAACATCTTATGTAAATCCACCCCGAAATCGATGTACTGTTGAAACTGACACTTTTGGAGAGGATATGAATGCAAACACCAGCAATAGTAGTGATAATAACGACCACTCATATTCGGATAAACAAGATCGTTTGCTTCCTTCAAATGGTTTTTTTCCGTAGATACTAATTCAGCTAATCATTACAGTTCTCATAACAAATCTCGGGAACACTAACCATACACTGTTCTATAATATCCAGTGTTATCTTTCAGGTTTTTTGATCGATTTATACATTCCTTTATCAGGTTGTTTATTGGTTCGTCATAGTAGATAACATTGGCGTTTATATTTCCCAGTGTCGATGCATTCGCGCAGATCTAGTCTTCCTTCTTAAAGAACATTAATACTGTGTTCCCAAACTCTTTGAATATAGCCATCATATTATCAATGGTGTTCGTTATACAATGGTTAGTAAATATACTGTTATTCTTACTTCAGTTGTCCCTTTGACACTATTAACTGTTTCTGTTATTACGGAGGCACGCTGTTTTATCCATTATGATATATGTTATAAACTCCAAACTTGTTGTACGCATTATCACTATGATTATTGAACACTAGAGAACCTATATAATTATTAACATAATATTGTCAGTTATCTGTTTTTCTATCAATTAATGCTTTACATGAAACTGGTGTATTTCAGCTTATTCTTGTATGTAATATTTGTTTTTGTTCCTTTTTTGTTCATTCGACCGATTATTTAATTAATTATTCATCATAATTTTTCAAAGAATCCACTGTTGTAAATAATCTATTAGCGTATTTGTGAAAATTGTTGTTTAACACATTTGTTTTTCGGTTTAGCAGTTGACTGTTTAGGTGTCGCACTCAAACAGCATATGCTTACACAGTGTTCGACTACCTAACAGAATACAGTTGTCCTTTCATTTGTAGTTTCCCTTGCTTTACGATTTATTTTTCACTTTAGAGTTGCACTCATCTTTGAAGTCCCACTTCAGCTTTTACTATATATATATATATATATATATATATATATATATATATATATATATATATATATATATATATATTCATTAGCATCTGCAGGCAGCCTTACTTGTATTTAAAAGATAACTGTCGTTATGACAGTATTACCATCAATAGCGGTGGCAAATTTTATCCTTGCTTCTTACACAAAGGTGTTGTAATTCTGATTTTGGGATACAATCAAAATGTCTATATCTTACACAGTAACTTATATTTATATAGAGTTCCGTTTTGTTCCTGCTTTGTATTTTTTTGTATCCTCTTCAAAGTTTTGTAAATAAGTGCTTACTCTGGGTTGTATTTAATTTTGTCAGGTTATACTTTACATGTACGATCTCTCATTATATAACTGTAGTTTATGTATGTTCCCAAAGATAATATAAAAAAGTATATAATCTTAAATGAATGTTCATTTATTCAGTGGGGTTTGTAAGAACAGAAATGTTGGTAACTACGTTATCCAATATTTTTGTATAAATAAAATAAATACAACATATAGAAGTCTCGAGTAAGTGAACAATAAATGTTCCATATAAATAAGTTATTAAATTATTCTCTTAATAGACATTGGAACACACCTATGAATATCAGCATCTGCACTGAGGCATGTAGTATCAACTTGGATACAATAACCTGTATTAAGTACGATATCAAAGAAATATCCTTATCATTCCACAAATGCTCTGCAAAGAAACTATAACAAACGAAACCTTGTTGATAACTGTACTCCACTATGGGACATCAATGTAGCACTCCTGACGACCGTTGTGACCAATGTATATTACTGAACCTCTAATGATACTAATTTTTACATATCAAGTTTTAAATCAATCGTCTGATTTATCTAAACCAGACTACTGTCGGAAACTCTCGGCACTGATAGCGTATTATTTTTGCACGTATGTAGTATTGCCTAATGAGAATTCTGAACAGTTAAGCTAATAGAATTATTTAGACTGCCATCTGAGGTTCATCACTTTTAAGAGATACTATTCCACTTACCTGGTCAGTTCACGATACCTTACGATCTTTCTAGTTCTTAGGGTACCTACTCTGAGATGTCTAATGTTTCTTCAAGTGGTTCGTTTACAAAGTTTTCAATATCTGATTACTCTTTTATATTGGCCTGGTATAACACCGTTTGTTTAGAAAACTAACAAGCATCTTATATACATTGACGAACTTCAAAATTCATTTATATTGTTTTAATTATCATTATGCACAAGTTTCCTTATTGTTTCGAAGAGATTACCCAGTGAATTCCATAATTTTCAAACAGCTTAGAGATTCGGCATTTTTTGAGCTTAAAACATGTTTACAAAACTGTCCACAGAATGTCAGTTTTAAATGATACTCATTTAGAGGTTATGATTTCGGAACCTGCTTGGAATTCTTAGGCATAATATGATACTATATATATATATATATATATATATATACTGACGACTTTTTTTACGAACACTGCTATGCTTTAACCGATAACTGACTGACGCACATGTTTCTCATATCTGTCAATACAAGATATTCTTAGTCATCAAAAAAAAAAACACTAAATGGAAAATTCTCTTAGTTCAGTGAAAGACGTTCTCGTTATGGATGAGGGACGAGTCCAATGCCGCTGTTGAGGCTACTTCTACAAACAGAAATACATGCTGAGTAACAATTGCTTGCCTTATTTACGAAGAGATTAAATGATGCTTTGTTAAATGACAGCATATTTGGGAATGATTTATTGATAATATTTTCATCTACAAAGCATCTTAAACAGATGAAAATAAATCACTTGAAAAAACTAATATCAAAACCAGGACTTTCATTCTAGCTTGTTTTATTTTAGGCAGTAAAAACGAGGTTTCCGACGCGGCTGCGAACACAAATAATCTATCCCAATTTAAACCATAAGTATTTATTTGAGCTGTGTAGAACTAAAAGTGAATTCACAAGGTTAATGTTTTTACATAAACTTTGGTAGCTCTCAGAATGATCTGTGATATACTCTTATGTATACTGCACACTAATAAATTATTATATATTTTTTAATAACTGCTTTTTTAAAGGCTGAAAACTATTTTCCGTCGTAAAAAAAGATGCTTAACTCCAAACTCTAAAAGTGAAGACATTCTATTAGAAGCCTAAGGAGTATGTGACGGCTTATGATTCGTGAAACAAGTACAATCAGCAGAAATAAATATTACAAACGTCATTTATTAAGTTACTTTTTGATGCAAAATTGTAAAACCTAGTTTAGATGTTTATGGTATAGTGATTTCTGGAATTAGGTTGAATTTTTTGGCAAAGCACATTAACTGACGAGCACGATATTGCCAATAATTAGCTCGAACTCGATCCACTTCACGGGCCAAACGTTCGCATAAATTGACAGCTCGGTCAAATATTTCTTTGGGATCAGAACTGGCATTATTCGAGTCATCAGAAGTCACACCAACAGCATTGAGACTATAGCGAGAAATTCAAAAAAATAAACAGGTCAAAATCACAACTCTATTTACTTCATTCACTTCTTATGAATAATTTACTTGATACACATCTTAGAACATATAGTGAAAAAACAGAAAATCAAATCCACAACTATTCCTATCAACTTTAAAACTTCTGTAAAATGTGATTTGGTACAAAAAACCATCTCCAAGATTATATTAGTATCAGACAGAATAAAATACTATCAAACACCGTATGTAACTGGACTTTTTATTGAGATACCGAGGATTTACTCGACGTTATATAAGCCATGTAAACGAATTCAGATATTAAAGTTGGCAACAAAACTTCGTGAAATAAGAAAAAAAGAGAAAGCAATCGAATTGAAAAATACGAAATTATCTTGTGGGAACATTCGGATATTTCCCACTTCGCTGTTTAAATTACATGATCTGTTAGTTTTGATGCTCATTGTCCAGGTTGAAATAATAATCTACATAAGACTCTTGGAGTGTGAAGGGAATCGGCAGATATGCTGAGCTTATGATGCGAGTATTTTATTATTAGTAGTAGTAGTGGTGCAAGTAGCCGAACTAACAATACCTTATGAACGTTTTACTATAAAAATATCTACAGCTTAATGTAGGCAAATATCCCAGGTTATGAGAATTCATAGTTATACTGATGATTCGATAATTATTGCTATCTCATATTTTCTGTACTTTTGTCCACGACTACATTAGCGTTGATGCGACTTGAAAATTAAATAATCTTAACTGTTAGCTATTTTATTTCCTACTGTAAGTAGATAGGAATGGCCTTAACGCTTCGAACATAGTTTCAGAATCAAATGGTTATAGACCTAAACATTTTATAGACTTAGACAAATTGAATTTTTTGTAGTGTCTAAAAATTGACTAGCCTTTTATGATAAACTGTGGTGATCAGTGATCAAGCGAGAGCTAAAAGAAGTATTTTGGATTTCTACATTCTGTCCAGTACGACAAACGTAATTCCAATTCCTAAATACTTCCGGAAGTACATTATAAAAGACAACTACCCTCTCAATACATAAATACTACTCTTAGTAGAAAATTGCGCATGAAGAAACCTTCAAGGTGCTTCTTTTTGGTACTGACCCAAGTGTGCACTATAAAGGACTAGTATATAATCATAAACGGAACAGATAATCCCAAACCAGAATACTTAATCATTGGTCCTCTCTCGCGACGTTTCATTGCAACGTCATTTGCGTATCTTTAAACTGGTGTTAGAGATCGCCAATTTAGTATCTTAGCGCGTTTTAAATCAATGCGGGGCAAGAATAAATGGTCTTCTGAGCGAATTTAAGAAAGCAGCTAACGTGAACATTTCGGGATTCCGAGGGCACCTTAGGTGTATGCTTCTCTTTAGACTGGACTCTGTATTCGGTAATCCTAGGACTCCAAAGATTAGTGCACATCTTCTTAAGCCACGTGCCACTCAATCATTTTGAGGCTGCTAGAGAGCAAGTTGTAGCCACGTTGTATAAAAAATTTACTAACGTTTACGGAAAGATAGAGAATACCTAGTTTATGAACACCACGCTTTAAATTCAACCGTGGATGCAATGATCAGTCTCATATAGTTACAACACAGACGAACTTAATAGGTAGAACGCTCGTTCTTTAAGAAACAAACTTGCCATTTAAGTTGGTTGGAAAGAAATAGGAATGAAACAAAAAAGTTCAAGGTTTGGGGTGAAGTTGCACTTTCGACTATTTACACAATAAGTGTAGTAGTTATGCCACTTCCATCATAATAAGCTAAAGTGATTAAACTGAAAGTAATGTGAGCTTTAAAAAATAAAGCCCAATAGGGTTATGATGAAAAAAGGCCGAAAGCTAAGTTCAGACAACATTTTATTGAGAATATCTTAAGCTGTGTAAATAAAATAGCTGTTTAACACTACACACAACAATGACATATATAGAATATAACTGTTTAATGTGGCACTTCGGGAAATGGATATAGTCTAGTACTAAGCTAACTGTTTTATGAAGGATGTCATTTTATATTTTATATGTCTGGATAAAGTTGAGTTTTAATCCATGACAGAATTGTTAGAATTGAAGTGTCTTAACAGAAAAGCCACAGAGGTCCAAAAGACTGTTATGAAGTAATAAGTGGATAAATACTGATAATAACGTATGTAAAACCGTAAATTTATTTATACATTAAATAATGCATACCTAGAATGTGTTTCGCACGTACTACCTGATTTTTCAGTAAAATAGGATTCTAAACAATCAGCATACACTTCAACCAAGAAACTAAGCGGTGCTAAACAATCACCAGCTATTTGATCAGATGCAACCAATTCCTCTGCAAATTTCTGCATAATTTGAAGATCAGACATAATATTTTGCTTAATATTCGAATTCTGATCAACTAAGAGTTTACACGAAGAATTATGAATATGTTTTTTCCCACGTACTATGGGCATTAGCAAACCATAAAAATAATTCCATGAACTTTCATTATTCGGAGCAAAGGAGATACGTCTTTGAACAAAATCTATTTCCTGAAAATGAAATATATATATATATACTTTTTTTTTCACAGGACGAATTTTGTTTGTACACCATTTAAATAAGTGATAATAATAATAATTTTCAAAATGACGAGTAACAAAGAACTTCACAGACATTTCTTCTGCAAATTCCGTTTTGAAAGGAGGAAGGCACTTATCTCAGAGAATACACCCTTACCAAGAAATTCAGTTTACAAGGTTAAAAAATCAGCAGAGTAATTGTTAGGTTCGTTAACCTTGAGGATACTACTGATTCGACTTATTCGGAACGGAACGAAGGCTCAGGATTCAGAGACTCAATAGACTATTCTGGTCCGTTGTCTTCGACTCAGCTAACTCGATCAAGAAGTCTTGGTAAGGCGTAGAAAGTGTATTCTACAAGCAACAGCAGATACCCAGGCAGGCAGATCAAACATACAAGTCAAGCGTATTTATACAATTATTTACAATCGATATTGTCATAGAAAATTTTTAAACATTAATCAATGAGTTCATTAATTGACCTATTTGCGCATTTAATCGATAGTTCATCAATTGACCTATTTGCACATTTAATCGATGGTTCATCAATTGACTGCTATTCAAACATTTAATCGATCAGTTCATCAATTGACCCCAATACAAATATTTAAACATTTAATCAATAAGTTGATCGATGCGATAAAATTTAAAATATGAGTTTGGGGATCTATCGTCCCCAACAGTAATATCTAGGATTACTGTAACTAGATATTTGATATAAGCAATCGCTTTCCGTCACGCTTGTTTTTTGTGACTACTAGCAATTTACAAGTGTTGCTAAAAGTCATAATAATCGCCTTTGGATAATGTAGTAAATATTTAGCTAGAGCTACTACGAGCTGTTTCTTAAAAAAATAAAGTCAATTTTGATACGAATTAGTAATGCTTAGAGTTGGAGTTTGATTACATTCTTCTCATTGAATGTGTCCACAAACGTACAGTTAACAATGTAAATGACTTCAAGTCATCCAGATCTTGCTATAAATCCAGTCAACTGAGAGTTCCAGTAAGTCTTACTTATTAAGACATAGGAGTAAGCTTGAATATGTATCTCCCGTAAAAAAGTGCATAATAAGTTCACATAAAAACTGAAATGCTAAACAGTCTTGTAAATATCAGCAATTACCGTTCACTACTATTAATCCTTATTAATGGCAACAATTTTCGATAGTTTTGGACGTACATTTGAACTGTTTTAAATTATCGTAAGCTAGATCAAAGAACTTTCATAATTTTAATTTAGAAAAATCACTCCAATAGCAAAAACCCAGGAAATGGCATACTGTTTAACATACACGCTGAAGAACGGTAGATGATAAACCTTCGTCACACATGACAATATAGTAACGATGATTCCAAGCCGAATTATTATAAACGTCACTGGAAAGCGTTTGTTCGGTGAATGCTAGCTCTGTTTTAACAGGCACATTGAAAAAAGTTACAATCCACCGACGGTGCTGCCAAGCATGATAATTTTTAGGATCATCTGAAATAACAGACCCAACAAAATCTAATTCCTCTGAACTAAGATGTGTTATAAAGCTGGAGTTATTTTGATTCTGTTGTGATAATTTTTCGACAACCCATTGTCGATGATGCCATAACTAAACAATAAAGAAACAAAACATTTCATATACTTTTCACTGTAGTGCAAGAAGCAGAAATGTATTGATCACGTTATATCATCTGTGTTTGATTTCAATTAAAAACTTATAATGATAGATGATTAATGGGATGAATGGTCCAAAATAACTAGAAAACGAAACATGTCCGACTGAGCTTATCCTTGCATAAAATTATTTTCTCATATTTTGATAAACGTCGAAATAATGATCTTGGTATTAAGTTAAAAACAAATAATGGTTATAAGTAACTCCGTCTGCAGCACTCTAAGGTTGATGCTGGTCTCAAGCCCCAATAATCAAGGAGGGTTGGGGCCAGGATTAGCGATATTATCTAGGGAAAAAGAAGCTCACTGAAGAATGCTAACCAGAATAAACCAATTAATCCATTTAAACTCGGTCCTGAGAGTTAAGGGTCTTCATATATAAGATTTATGAGGTCTCGTAGTGATAGCAATACAAATAGGTACATGGAGTGTCCAGACAATGTAGAAGAACCTGGAAGGTTATTCAAGTAGAGAGAAAAAGTGAGAGGATTCTACTGGTTGTGATAAGAATAAGCGGAACCCATTGTACACAATCTAAAAAAGATTAACTTCATGGGAGCTGCTGTTGTGTTTTGGTCATGAGGAAGGAAGTGCTTGACCTACATAAGGGGTTGTACTGATGCTTTCCAACGAAGTACGAAAATCGCTTACAGGATGAGAAACCTATGGTTCCAGGATCCTCAAAACATCCTTCTAAACAAAAGAAGAAACTACAATGTATGTCATCCAGAGCTACGTTCCCATTAACGGTAACAGCCAGGATGAAAATCACATTTATAAGAGTCCATCCTAAGGAAACGCCTAGTCATCCTGATGGATGACTTGAACGTCAAAATCGGAATTGATAACACAGAGAATAAATGCACCATAGGGCAACATAGAGTAAGAGAAAATAATGAGAATGGTAAGCGATCGATAAATCCCTATTCTTGCAATAAAACAGCTATAGGTGGCACGGCCCCCGCCCACAAACACATACTAAAATATAGATGGGTTGACCTGATTACATCATGGAAGACGTAAGAACAAGGAAAGGAGTTAACATAGCTTCAGATCACTACCTGGTGGTGGCCAAGCTGAAGAAGCATTAGAAAATGAGACAAGTAGCACTACGGAAGTTTAACACAGCCTTCCTTTGAGATATTGACAACCCCGAATACCCTGGTATGGCCGAGATTGGGGAGAGTCCGCTCTCCCTCTTGAAATACTCTCACATGACCACGCGTATACAGCCTCTGACAGGGAAGTCCTACTCACTGCCTTTTCGTGGCAGGGGTGTTGTTTACGAAATTGAGGACGAAAAGCGAATGTCCGGTGCCTCAACCGGGTTGGTGAACATAGAGAGTCCACCTAGGGGAGCTGAAAAACCCTGATTCCAAACCAATGGTGCACATGGGCTCCAGTATCCTGAAGGAACAGATGGAGTATGAACCAATCGTTAGTCACCGGCTACCATGGGACTGCATCTACTTGCGTTGCTTCACTGCCTTGTGGATCAGACCTTCAGGTCAAAGACTGCGGGTGTGGCCCCCTAAGAAAACCACCTGCTTCGGTTTGGGCACCCGGACAGTATCACGGCTTTCACACATATCGAATGAGATCTGTGTGGCGCATGTGTATTTAGTTCCTCCTTATACCAATATCTGTGTTAAAATAAATCAGTGAATTCAACATAGCGCTCTGCAACAAGTTCCAAGCATTACAAGAACTGCTAAAAGGAAAAGAAGACACGGGAGTGAGAAAGTAGCAGGATCTGATAACATACCAGCTGAAGTACTTAAGCCAGACACAGAAGTGAATGCAAAGATGCTTGAATTTCTATTCCGGAATATTGGTGGGGAAGAACAAGTTCTGAAATAGTGGAAAGAATATCTCATAAAAAACAAAGAATGGAGACTATAAGAGAGCATTCGACAGCGTAGATAGGATTGCTTTTGGAATTCTCTTCGATACTATGGAGTACCTGGGAAAGTCGTCACCACCATAGAAACACCATAAAATGAACTGAGTTGTAAAACCATACATTGAGAACAGCTCGCCAATACATTTTAAGTATGAACTGGAGCTAGATAAAGCATAATACTCTCGCCTTTTCTCGTTCTCCTGGTTGTTGACTGCGTTATGAAGACTTCTACATCTCCGAAACAGCATTGAATACAGTGAACACAGCTCGAGGACTTGAACTTGGTAGATCACTTAGCCTTTCTATCCCACAGAGAAAAACAAATATAGAAAACAGTCAATGTAGCAGTGGCTTCTGCAGCAGTAAGCCTTAAAATTAACAAGGGGGAAAGCAAGATTCTGAAGAACAATTCAATTAACATCAACCGAACAAGACTTCATAGCAAAGCTCTAGAAAATATAGAGGTCTTGACGTACCTGAGGGACATCATTGATAAACAAGGCAGATCTAACGTATATGTGGGATCACGAAACGTCAAAGCAGCATTCCCACAATTGAAGAATACACAGAACTCAAAAACAACTCTCAGCCAGCTATCAGAGTCAAGATACAATATAATAGTCAAGACAGTTCTACTGTATAGAGCTGAAACCTGTTGAGCTACTACAATCATCATCAACAAGTACAGGTATCTATAAACAGCTGATCACGCATGATAGTCCATTCCCATTAGCCAGATACTATAGGCAATAATCTACACTGGAAAGTAACAAACTAATTGCCAAGTGAGGAAAGGGTAAGAAAAAGTGTTGGAGGTGGATAAAATACCATGGAAACTGTCAAATCGCATTACGAGTCAAGCACCAACTTGGAGTCCTCAGGGCAGAATGAAAAGATGTGGACCCAAAAGCACGTAGGGCCACAAATCGGAGGCAGACATGATGATAATAAATAGCACTTGTGGATTGGGAAGAAAAGATAAGAGCGGGGATGTTTGGAGATCCCTGGTCAGCTGTCTTGCAAACGGAACAAGTATCTCCACCTTACAACGTTTATAGGCTTCAGAAACTCACATCGCTAACAAAAACATATCTGATTACAGTTGATTCGCCATTTTCTAACCACTAATTTTAGGTCAATACAGTTCGTTTACATGGTCGATTATCAATTTTCCAACATCAAAACAGTTTCTGTTACTGATTACAACTATGTTCCATGCATTTTTTCTTAAATACTAAATGGGAAGGTACCTTACTCTGCATGGTATAAATTTGAGCAACAACTTTGTAGGTAACATTGGTGATTTCTTCATGTGTTTTATCATGTCCACTTGATTGTTCCGCATAATCACATGAATTCTTTTGCTTTGCAGATACATAACTTTTAATAAACTATGAATTGGGTTTCTATACAGATAACGGAACAAGCTACAGATGAGCGGCACATTCTCCCTATATTATTATAATTCCAACAGGGGATCCAGTCAGTTTTCTTTTTCTATTTGTCAATTAGTCGATTCGATTAAAAGTGTGCAGTGTACTATCTACCACTAAGTTATTTTGTTGCTCTATGACGAAAATTCGTGTTTCTTAAAGGTTATTGTTAAAAACTACAGTTCTATTTATGTCTGAATTACAAATTTTTAATGGTTTAAACATTTTGAGTTTTCTCCCAATTTTTCATGGTATATTTATTGCTATGGGACACTGATTAAAGTATAGTATAGAAAATATCGCCAATTTAGGTTATGGGAATCAAACAACTGCATCAGCGCATCGCAGTCACGAAAATTAGAGTTTTATAATTTATTTATATTAGGTTACGTCGTAACCACAAACTATGCTCTTTGGTCATTGAATTTATCACCCGTGTGAGATCGCTGAATATAAAACACCGAAACTTCACTGATAAACTATGCATTACAGAAATGTAGATTTTCGAATACATTATGCAAAAACCCAGGAACATTTAATACTATGTTTAGAACTTTAAGGAGTAAAGTCATGCTGTAGAAATAGTTGGTACTTTTGCTTTTAGTTTGTTTACAAAGACTAACTTCAACTGAATGATCATAAATGGAACGCTAGTTTGAATAGGAAAAAATTCACTGAACAATTCTTAACGTATTACACTACCCAGTTAACAGAATTAACGTTTACATTCAAACAGTGAATTCGGGTGTTTACAGTTGTGATACATAAATATCCCAAATCGCAGATATTTAAAACAACTAAGAGCACTTACTCACTAACATTTGAGAACTAATTTCATCAGATAAAATCACTGATTAGAATGCACTTAGATCAAAAAATGGTTGCAAGTTGAGAGGACAGAACATTCAACATAAAAGTAAATTATCAACAAATAATCTATTTAACTTGTTATTTTATAAGTATATTGGTTAGTCAATAACGTGCATGGAGTGCAACAAGGATAAAAACAAACAAACCATAGATCAATTCAGGGATACGGGAACATATCATAGTGCCTTTGATCCAGTCCAAGTACTTTGATTATGTGGCGTATGGACCGATTTCTGGTCACTGGCTACCATGGCATCGCATCTCTTAACGTTGTTGCACTGTCTTGTGGATTAGACTTCTAGGTTAAGGGTTTGGGGAGTGGATCCCTAAGAAAACCATGAAGTTCGGTTTGAGCACCCGAGTAGTATCCTAACTCACACACAAATTAAATGGTGATTACAACCGAAAAAAAATATCGCGTCCTCAAACTATATTCAAAGTTACTTGGTAACAGTCATTATTACTCGACATTATGTCACTTGTCTGTTCTCTTTTATTCCCATTTTGTGCATTCTTCTATTTTTCAACTGGCACAGAAGCCGGCCTATGATAGAAATTCTGTCCTGTCTAAGCGACCTTGAGCCACTGACGAGACGAAAGTTGAATGTGTACAAGACTCCTGCTCCTTTTTGAGTGCTTAAGTTACTCTGATTGCGCTCTTGTTTGAACTAATCTAATCTTAAGTTTTAGTGGTCAACAGGTTCATAGTCCTAAACGGACTGATGTGAGCAATTTGACTGAAGCTTCCGTTGAAGGTAAATATCAGACTGAGCTAGTTTCAATGCTACTTACTAACCCAATGAAAAGGATGGATGCACATTGGCTATATAGGCAGGACGCCATGAAAGTGGCGATTTAAATCTCTTGCGGCTTCGGAAAATTGAAAGAATACTTTCTGGTTGTATTTTCTTGTAAAATAGACTGCTTCTCCAACTATTATTCCCTTTTTGTTCTCAGTCACTCATTTTTATTCATTTGTATATTCCTCACTTATTATACTCACATTTCTTTATCACTGTCTTCACCATCTCATTTTTTATTGTGTGGAGCATATGTATTTTGGTACCCCTTTTTAACAATATTTGTGTTTAAATAAATAATAAAAAAATTGATATTGAGAATACTTAAGTGCAAAAGCGAATATATAAGTTTAAGAATATTAAAATTTTGTTCGAGGTTCTCCAGTAGCAGGTGTCATTTAAACGTATTCTACAGAGGTCGGCTGTCTGTATATAAGTTCATTATATCGTTTTTCTGTTAATCGAGGAAGACACCAACATAAGTGACAAATAAGTATACATGTGAAATCGTGAGTACTTTCTGTTTGGCAACTAAGATAAAATTTCACTTCTGTGTTGCAAAACAAATATAATAAATCATTGTTCTATATACTATTCACTAAGTACCTTAATTGGACGGATCAGTAGATTTATGAAATCTTGATTGCAAGTTCAAAGTGCCATATGTTAAGTTATTATCGCTAAAGAATAACAAGATCGAAATGAGTACATCAATACTCGAACTAAGGTTATGTTGACCAAGGTCAAAGGTAAGACGAATAGTAATTTTAATGAACATTTGAGGAAACCAGTATGAATATATTTTCGTACTTTAGATAAATTCTAGATGCTGGTGTAGCACAAAGTTATATTAAGAAAAGTATAATTCATTCTGATATACTGAGTTTTATACGCATTTGTCGATCAGAACAAAATTATAAGTGAAACAATTAACATACACATGTAAGATTTCCACTTACATGTAATACAACAACTTATGGTATCTTAATCCTTCAAGCAAATATAATCAGCCAAAACAATCTCAATAAACATGCATGAAATATCTCGTTAGCATCTTCAGCTCGAACGGGCCAGACTCCACAAGAGAGTATAATTGCTCTCATCGACGCATTGTAAACCAAACCTTCAACAAGACGGCATCAAAGATTGTATAGATTGGGATAAGCCGCTCTAACTTTGACTGATCTTATCTGCTATCAAACCAGTAAGATTTGCACAACTACCCAGAAGCATGAACCTATCAACCATTACCAACCATCCACCACAAAGAGCGAGCGTACGTATTTTGGGATATTCAGAAAAATATCCCAAACATTATCCTGTTAAGTCTAATACTATCCTTGAACGTGAAATGGTGTCATTTTCCTATTGGTCAATATTTATTTCACGTGTCGTTTCCCTACTGGTCAATATTTACTTCACGTGTCATTTTCCTACTGGTCAATATTTATGGTAGTCCTAACTGTATAAATATGCATTTGTCTGTAAATTCTTATTCTTCTCCTGACCCCATAAACAATTTCCATCTACGGTTCGTGTTCTGATATATTGGTGATTGGGAACAGTATTGGGGTCGTACTGAGATAACTAAAGTTGGTCAGTCGGTAGAAATTAGAGTAGCCACCTCGCGGTCTGCAATAACGCACAGACAGGTGTCAGTTTCACGGGAGTACTTTACGTTTAAGAGGTGAAAACTAGACTGACTGACACTAATTTCAAACGGATAACGCACGATTTGGATACTGTGTATCACTACATAGTGAGACAATGCTAGCTGCATACTCAAGATCAAAATCTCTCAAGAAATATGAATACTTGAGGACTTTTACTTCGATGGCTCAACCTGTAGTCAAAGGCCGCGAGACAGGACAGCCTGATAGACGTTTCTGTGGCAACAGACTCGTTGAACTGTTTCGCGAAAATCTCTTCTTGTCACCCTAGACGCCTCTGAACCTTAATAATTGGCGTCCTATCAGATTCATAGGCTGTTTCACTAAAACCAGACTACATGATTTTGTTGGCGGTTAGTGATAAAGCTCATTTCTTATTGCATTTTGGATAAAACCTATCAGCGTGTAAGTGGAGATTACGGGAAGACATAGTTCCACATTCTAGTTTCTTTTCGTCTTGGTGGAGCCTTTCTATCTAATAACACACAGACAACTTTCCATGAGAATCTAACCGGTTAGTACTCCCCCTGTTATAGCGCGATGTGATACTGACACTAACGAGACTGGACACTGATCTCAGTGTCTCCCCACACACCCAAGTGAGACAAAGTTTTTGAGTCGACAAATAGAGAGCGAAGTGGGATAAATATCTCAGATATGAAAAATACACATATCAAGACTTTCTAAAGACATACACAAACCTATCTGTTATTCGATCTCTACCAAAGTGCGAGAGTTGAGGGCGGTAAGGCTTAATTACTTCAGAAAGGCTGATTTAGATTTCATGGTCGATGACAACATTCCAAAAATCAAACATTTAGCGACTTGAGACCGTTTAAACAGTACAAAGCGTTCAGTGGAGACGAGTTGTTGAGTTGGTTAAATAGTGAAATTAACATTCGTATAAGCAAGTTAAACAAAAAAGTACTATAATTTCTTGTTTAAGTTAAGCTAAGAATGAATAAGCTAATAATTTGCTGAATACTCCGTAGAGAATTTCTCACTCATTCATAAACCTCCATTTAGTAAACTGGCTGACTAACAGTTAGTCAAATACCCCTTACTGTGAAATTTCATACACTTAGTTTTATTTACTATCTTGAATACAGCAAGAACAAAGAATTGAGCTCAATTCTTTGATCTACCTCTTGTTGTCTTGTATTATTCAGACATACAAATTCATGTGATTGTATACATACAATAAAAGACCACGATGCACCAAGAATAATAAACTATAGTACATAACTGGGACATTTTTAGTCTAAATCTAGGTGACAGGTTTAGGATTAATTTACTGTAATTTAGGAACGGCAAAAGCGATAGGAACAGTTAATGAGTCGAATAAAGGATTACAATTAAGATAATATCCAAATACCAAAAACTGAATTTTTAATAAATACTCATTAAAAATCTACCTATTAAACAATCCAGAGAATACCTTCCAGAGTCCCACATTTTTAATTTTTCGCCACTTCGTGACAATTAGGATGCCAAATTGATATAAAACTAGTTTATTATGAAATAATTACGACTATTATAGTTTCTAAGCATCGGCATGTAAGTGATTTACAATCATTTTGTAGTTAATTTTTACTATCTGATGACCTTGAGAATTTTATTTCTTATATATGTAACAGTTTGTCAGTTGCATTCCTAGTGACCTAGAATATACTGCATATTTGAAGTGTATGAAACGATGATTACATAAAAAATACCCTACCCTGTTTCTTCATTCAAATGGACAGATTTTCATAACGTGATTAGTACCATTGTATTATTCGCAATTAAAGCGCTCACCTGGTAATTTTTTGAATAGTCTTCAATAAGCCCACCAACGAAACGCATCTCACCATTTAGGTCAGGTGAAATTTCTTCGATGATCCGTCTTCTGTACTCCCAAGCTGTGTAGTTGGCGGGATTAAACAATAAAATGTCAGAGGTTAGTGAAAATGTCCGCTCACTACGCTCGTCCTTCATTAAGGCTGCACGAAAATAGTCATGTGCATCAACAAATTCTTCAGAATATGCTATATTTACAATGTTCCGACCTCCATCATCCTGAGGAATCGGATTAACATCATCCCATTCTTGTCTGTCTTTGTAGAATACATACTTTTCACGAGAACTCATGGGTTGCAGAAGAATATCTACAAAACAAAGTAATTACAAGTTCATCAAAAGTCAGAGAATTATTTGCATAAAAACAGAGATAAACAAGATACATATTATCTAAATAATACAAGCACAGTCGAGAGTGCAGTTAATAATAAAGTCAACTTATAAAACTTTGAATCGTTCAGAATCGGCATAGCAGTGAATATATGAGAATGGACTCTTTAAAACTATTTTAAAAGACATTAGAAACATGAGGTTTAACTTGTCTGAATTACTTTATAGAACTAATTCATCCATAAAACTTTATAAATACGATTATTTACGTAAGTGATTGTGATCGAGTTTTATTTACGTTGATAACATATAATATGAATCAAATGTTTTGATGAAGGGCGGCAATTTGGTGTTTGTTAATATCCAGGATTGTAACGAGAGTAATTCATGTATTGTAGTTAACATTAGTGAATAAACACCTATGATAACAAACGCACAACATTCAGATAAAATGCTAAGATTTTTTTCGTCAGTTTACAGTTACGTAAATTTCATAAGTTTACTTAAACCATTAATATCTATACAACGTAATGTAAATTGACGATTTCGTGATGAGTCAATTAAGTACAGAGATACAGTAATCCTGCCTACTCTGAACAAACAATGCCGACTGAAATTTTGTAAGCGACCGTTAAGATTCTGACAAGTCGATAATACATCGAGTAACCATTATTGTAGCCTAGACTTATTTATTATTTTATTTATTTGGACACATGAATATTGGTACAAGAGAGCGCCAATACATATGCGCCACACAAAACAATGAAAATTCGAGAGGAATACAAAGAAAGAAAAAAAAAGCTAAGGAGCGCAACAAAAAAAGAGAGAACAATAACGAAGAGATTGGTGTAAGGTAATGTGCTAGTAATCAGGGAACGCAAAGGTACAATCGGAAGAAATCTTTCAGGTAACGGAGACACTACCACTTTTTATGAAGAAAGTAAAAGGTTACAGCAGGATCGCCATTGGCTTCTCTTCTCAGCCATATCTGATAACGTCTCTAGCCACTGTGTTATACCATCTCTCAGACCCCAACCAGGGAGTCGTGAAGGACCAACACAAGCCAGTCCTTTGCAGCTTTCTTTCATGCCACGACACCGTGTCATGCACTGACCACCTCTCCGCTTCTTCCAACCAGTCCCAGATTCGGCAAATAATGCACGACGTGGAATCCTCTGGGACGACATTCGGAGAACATGTCCAAGCCACCGAAGTCGGTGTTTCAAGATGGTGACACCAATTGAATTATCATCTCTGTGCCCGAACACACGATGCCGAACCTCTGCATTACTGACATGGTGTTGCCACTGAATGTCAGCAATCCTTCGGAGACAGCGATGATCGAACACAGAGTCGTCTAACGTCCTCAACTCGGAGAGGCCAGGTTTCACAAGCATAGAGCAAAACTGCTCTCACCGGCGCGTTGTAAATCCGACCTTTTACGGCCAGACTAACATCACGAAGGCGCCATAGATGGCCCAGATTGGCATAAGCCGCTCTGGCTTTCACTATACGTGCATTGATCTCATCACTCACACCCCCACCAGCACTTATGCAGCTACCCAGATACACGAACTTCTCGACTACGTCTATCTGCTCACCATCCAGGGTGAGCACAGGATTGGAATCCTGCCAGTCTTGTAGGAGTACTTTGCCCTTCGAAGGTGCGAAGCACATACCATACCTACGGACACTGATTGCCAGCTGATTAAGTGCGGATTGCATGCCTTGTGCATTATCGCACAGTAAGACAATGTCGTCCGCATACTCAAGGTCGAGAAGTCTTTCTCCAGGCAACAGATCCACACCACCATTACTTACATTCATCAGAGCTGTTTCCAGAATGTCATCGATGGCAAAGTTGAAGAGGAATGGTGAGATTGAGCAACCCTGCCTAACCCCACTACTCGAATGGAACAATGGAGAAAGGTGGTTGTATGCCCTCACTCTACCTGAGGTGTTTTTATATAGGGCTTTTAGGATGTTAATAAACTTCTCAGGCACACCCTTCTTCAATAGACAATCCCAGAGAACAGTTCTGTCCAACGAATCGAAGGCAGCCCTGATGTCAAGAAACACTACGATTGTTGGCCTTTGATAAGTATGGCGGTGTTCTAACATTTGGCGGAGGGTGAAGATATGATCAATACATCCTCGACCAGAACAAAACCCAGCCTGCTCCTCGCGAGTCAATCTTTCTCGGGTTTTGAACAACCTACGAAGTATGACGGAAGCTAATAACTTGGACGCAATCGGAAGTAGACTTATCCCCCGATAGTTGTTATAGGAACGACGTGAACCCTTTTTAAAGATAGGGACAACTATCGACTCATTCCATGACGTTGGTACACTCTCTAGTTCCCAAACCTTCGTAAACAACGTCGTCAATTCCTTAGTCAAAAAGTCACCACCATCTTTAAAAAGAGCCGGAGGTAAGTCATCTGGACCAGGTGATTTGTAATGCTTCAAGAGTTGGAGTCCCTTGCGAACTTCCTCCTCGTTTGGTGGATCAGTCGTCACCGGCCATGGAGGGCAGGACAGTCTGACCGATGTTGCCGGAGCAGCAGGCCAGTTGAACTGCCCTTCGAAAAATTCTGCCCATCGTCCAAGACGTCGATGGATGTTAGTGATTGGCATCCCATCATCCTCGCAGATTGTTTCGCTCACACCAGACTTCTTGCTGCCAGTGGCTCGGATGAGTTGGAAGAGCTTCCGGTAGTTACCAGATGCAGCTGCTGCTTTCAGCTCATTAGCACGCTTTGACCACCAGGCTTCTCGGTCCGTACGCAAGCTTTGCCCAATTTCCTTACGTAACATCCTTCGTTTATGGTCAAACTCACGGTCACCCGGAGTAGACCGACGGGCTTCAATGAGTTGTAAGGAACCTGCAGAAACCCAGTGCTTATAAGCGGGACGTTTCGCGAACCCACAACTGACTGTTCCCGCCATTTTCATGGCGTCATGCAGTTGCAGCCAATGCTCATCTATACTCTACGGTAGGATGGTAGCTAGCCTAAAACCTAGCTTGGTTTGATACTTAGTTGCAATATAAGCTGCAACCAATTTACTGACATCAATCCGTTTATGACGATCAATTCGCTGGCCACGGAAAAGTAAGGTAAGATTGGCGCAGACCAGGGCATGATCAGAGTCCAGATAGGTACTCCAAAAGAAGCAGCAGTCTTGTACACAACCACGCTAGCGGTAGCTGATCGCGATGTGATCAATCTGAGTCCAGGCTTGAGATGCAGAAAGGGGACGCCAGCTGGCACATCGGTGATGACTGTGCCGAAAGTTAGTACTAGCCAGAAACAGGTTGTGGTCTGTGCACAGTTGCAGTAGACGGTCCCCGTTATCTGACCTGCGACCAACAAGTCCCCATCGGCCACCTAAACGACTCTCTTCTGTGCCCAGACGCCCGACCTGAGCATTCAAGTCTCCGGCTAGTACTACAATATCTGTCGAACGCACTTTCTGGAGAAGAACAGACAGCTGGTGGTAAAACTCATCCTTGATTGCATCCGAGCTGCAATCTGTCGGGGCATAGGCGGAGATGACGAAGAGACATCGTTTCTCACGCCGATTTCTCCTCACTTTGATGGAATTTTTTAATCTAACAGCACATAACCGACTGTTAATGGGGATCCAATCGACTAGTGCTGCCTCAGCTCTAGCGCTTAGTGTGACACCAACGCCAGCAAGACCAGACGAAGATGCCACAGGGTCCCCGGATAAGCGCACGTAAAACAAGCTTTTTGAATCGACAGATGGAGATCGAATTTGTAGTACTTCGCCAGAGTCTTGAATACGGGTCTCAGATAGACAACAAACATCAATATTGAGACTTTCCAAAGACATAGCCAGCCCTATCTGTTGTCCGACCTGCATAAATGTGCGAACGCTGAAGGCAGCCAGTTTGAATGGTGCACGTGGTTTCAGAAAAACTGCTTCAGTTCTCGTATTCGGTGGTAACATACAATTTTCAACCGGACAGTGACTCGAGAACGTTTAGATACAGTCGAGTTTCCACCAAAGACGAGCCGCTGTATAAGTATAAAAGAGGGTGAATAATGTGGGAAATAATAACAATAATAATAATAATGGTAATAATAATAGTATTAATAATGACAATAATTGTAATGATAATAATTTGAATCAATTGATTGTTTTTCGAAGCGAGAAAAATAATTTCCATAGACATAAAGAGTTCATCATTTGTGTGTGGGCTGTGATACTGCCCGGGTGCCCAAACCGAAGCAGGTGGTTTTCTTAGGGGGCCACTCCCCGAGCCTTTGACCTAAAGGTCTAACCCACAAGGCAGTGGAGCATCGTAAGGAGATGCAATCCCATGGTAGCCGGTGATCAAAGATTGGTTCATACGCCATTTGTTCCCGCAGGATACTGGAGCCCATGTGCACCATTGGTTTGTGATCCGGTTAAAGCGCCGGACATTCGCTTTTCGTCCTCCCATTTTCGTAAACAACACCCCCGCCACGAGAAGGCAATGAGTAGGACTTCCCTGGCAGAGGCTGTATATGCGTGGCCGTATGAGAGTATTTCGAGAGGGAGAGCGAACTCACCCCACTCTCGGCCATACCAGGGCATTCGGGGGTTACAGACCAAAAGTGATTTTTGTTATTGTCAAGTAAAGAAGCTAAGAAGCACTAATAATAGAAGAATTACGGTGATAATAACCTCAGAATTAAATTGTCTAGCCATCAGCTCTTTACGTGGGTAGCAATTTACGACACTCAAATCTAGTCGGCATCAAGTTTTTTCCTGGAACATGTTACGATATAGATGAGTATATTTTAAACTGTTTAAAGTTAGAATTTCGAAAACCGTTGATAAAAAAAATTGATTTTTAGAAGAGGAACACAACGATGAAAAATCCCATAGCTTGTGCTACTATTCCGTTAAAAAGAAATACAATGAAGTCTTATGCCGGTGGAATGAACAATACGATCAGTGAGTATCC